AAGATCCTATCCATTTAGGAAAAAGAGTGGGGGCTTTTCTTCTACCTTGCATTAGACTGAAAATATACACACTTAGTATAAAGTAGCTTTAAATTATGTAGCATAATTTCCTGCCAAAAATTTGGGTCTGCTCTTACTAGGGCTAGTGGTTTGTCAGGATAAACCATACATGTTTTCATGGGGAAAATGCAAGGTGAGCATCATGAGCATGTAGTATCAAACATGGGTAATTTTATTTAAATACAAATATTCTTTATTTTTCAAATACACATAGATAGTATCTATTTTTAAATACACATATTGAAAAATAAAGGCGAACAACAATTTTGTTAACTATTTATCTTTATTTCAGTGGCAGCAATAGCAGAGTGGTGTTATTGTCCCCTCCTCATTTCTGCTGCTTTGGCTGTGCAGAGGGAATTGAGTTCCTGGTTCTGTGGGGTCAGGAGATTCTGAGCACACAGGTGACTTCTCTAGGGGCTGCCAGGAGGTGAGGCAGCCAGTCCACATCCAGTGGGTCACCCTGCCAGCCTTCAGCCCTCTAACAGACAACTCCAGGGATCTGTGGTGGACAAGACGAAAATCATCACTATTACAGATTTCCACAGAACAGCCTCGTGTGTAATTACAGAATCATCAAGGTTGGAAGAGATGTGTAAGATCATCCAGTCCCACTGTCAACCCAGTACCACCATAATCACCCCTAAACCCTGTCCCCAGGTGCCACATCCAGATGGTTCTTGAACACTTCCAGAGACTCCACCAACTCCTTGGTCAACTTATTCCAATGCCTGATCAGTGTGTCAGTGAATTTCTTTACTAGTATCTAATCTGAACCTCCTCTGGTGCAACTTCAGGCCATCCCCTCTTGTCCTTTCACTGGAGAATGGCAGAGGAGGCAGACCCAGCTCACTACAACTTCCTCTCAGGTAGTTGTAGATGTCTTTGGGCTCCTTCCATGATCACAACTGAGATAAAGTAATCTGATGTAACTGAGATAAGGTAATCTCACAACTGAGATAACATAACCACTTGCTCAGAGAAGTCTATTTCTGTCCCTAATTAATCAATCAACCCTGATGAATGAAACTTAAATTTTTCCCTATGAACTTTGTCCCCTGCAAACCCCCTTCCATTCTAAGCACAGGGTACAGAACCAAAGGAGGTGTGTTTATACTAACAGCAGCCCTGCCAAGTCAGTGCCCACCTTTCACTGAAAAGAAAGGTCCTGCTCCATCTCCCCTGCCCTTTCTCCCTAGCTGCAGGCACCCTTCTGCCTCCTCATATTGGCTTTGGAAATTGTGTGGCCTCAGGGCGAGCCCGCTCACTTGACAGGTTGACATATCTGGCAGTAAATTGCTCTTTCACTTGCAGATTTATTTATCTGTGGTGTTGGATTTCCACCAGGTCAATTCTCTGCATTGATTTGCCCCAGGGCTACCTGATCACTAGAACTATCCCAAGGGAATGGGGCAGGAGAGTGTGGCTGGGGGAGGAGAGATGGTGAGGGGCAGGGTCTCCTCTCTCTTCCTTGGCAGGACACAGCAAGATGTGAAACCATAACCAGAAGATGAAGCTCACTGGCAGCTTGATGTCCTGCCTGCTCCTGTCCCATGCTCCTGTCCTGTGCAGGAGCTGCCTTTGACAAAACCCTGATGTTTCCTCACAGTCCTTGTTTCAACTGCACTGGTAGAAATGCATTTCACTGCTGGGCAGGCAGGCAAGAGCCCACCCACACTGACAGGAGGGAGCAGGCAGGGCAGGGGCATGGAACCACAGCAGATAGGGAGGATACAGATGGCTTGAGATACTTTGGAAAGGCCTCTGAGATATCCAGAAGAAATCAGGAGCTCTAGCTGTGGGATTGGCATCCTTGAGAGCCCCTCTGAATGTGTTCACCATGTCTCTCTTCCCACATCACTCAGCACATCTTTCTCCTCTTAAGAAACAAATGTCTCCTTATGGCAGGAGCTGTGGATGGATTTAAAACCACATGAAGCCAGCTGAAAACAAAATTCATGTGACAGCTATCACAAAACTGCAGCTCTAACAGTGATGCCTGCCTGGGTGTCGAAACGGTGCTGAGAGAGAGTCGGGCTCAGTGCAGTGGCACTCGTCAAACCCTGACATGATGGGAGGTATCCTTCCTGCTCACACAGGCATCCCAGGAGCCAGAACTGTCTGTCTGCATCTGCCTTATAAAAACTTGCTTCTTGAGCTACACGTATCAATTCTGCTTTCTTTCCTTCTGGATGATGAGCAAACGCAGCTTTTGAGTTTATCAAGCCACAGCTGTGAGATACCTTTGACAAGGGATCTGCAAACCCAAATCCCCCAGTCTGATGAATATTCTCAAAACTAAGCACATTCAGGCTTCTGTGCACTGGATATCACACAGGCTTCCACAAGATGTGAGGGACTGGCAAAACAGAGTAGTGAGCTTAATTATGAAACAAAAAGAAACTATGAGAGCAACTATGTAGTAGCTAAGGGTACCCAAACCCCAGAAATTAACTCTGTCTTCCTGAGATATGAAGGACTGGCTGTTACAGGCCTGGTTTATCACTGTGTTAAACCAATTTTATGTTGTTGTAAAAACAGGATGGTAGAGTTGTGCTGAATAAACCTAAGTACACATCCCCTCTGTTCTGCCATGCACTCTCACAGATATAAAACCAGCTAATGATTGAGAAAATCAAAGAAAAACCTCTAAAAGTGAAATGGTAGAAATGTCAGGTGTGGGGGAAGAGAATCATTATGCTACTTGATCGATGCACTTCTACTGAAATGATTCGGCCTGAGGGGCAAGAGAAATTTATTGGGAAGATAACATGCAGCAAGATAAAGGCCTTTTGCAAAGCAGCATTAAAATATCTTTCATGAGTAATTAAACCAGGCTGAAAGTTTCTTAAAGACTCTAGAGTTCAACATACACCTAGTGTGTTTGACCACCTCCATCTCACTGTTATTTAATGCTTGCAACACTTAGAACCCTGTTCTGTTGTTACTGAGCTTGTTGTACAGTTCTTTATTGGTTTAGGAGACACTTTGATTCACAGTGACTTATTCACAGCATAATTCTATTCAAGAGAAACAAGCATATAATTCTGTACAACAGCGGCACATTATGAGTGGATAGTATGGCACACATTGCAAAATCTGTATTCATCACAGAGCATGTGTTCATGCCATGAGAATTCGTATTTCTTCTTCAAAACTGCACAAGTCTTTCTCAAGAGTAAAAGGCATTAGGAAGTGCACTTGAAAACACTCTGAAGTTCAGGAAATGCCAAGGAACCTCATTTCTAAGTGTCTATTTGCACAGGAACGACAATATGCAGGATGACTGCTGGGCTAGAACAATGCAAGAAAAGAATTTGCAGAAAGGGGGCCAGTGTAGTTGGGATAAGCATATTGTGAGAAAAGTACCTTGCATGGTAGCAGAACTTTCAAATAATGGCTCCATTTCACTCCATCTATGATCACTAACTTTTACTTTTTAAAATATTGCAAATGTATTCCTCATGAGATTGATTCAAATAAATATTTGGCTTGCAATAAGTCAGTAGTAATCAGTGGCAATAGTACTTTTGCAGTAAATGTACATTAAGTTTATGAGTGACTACACAGTAGGACATAAAAATATGTATTTGGAATTTCCAAGTTTTATGGGTGTTCTCCAGAAAAAAAACCCCAACCTTCTGAGAAGCTTATTTACCCAAGCAGACATCTATATACACTCATTTACTGTAAGAGAAAGCAAATTTGTGTTTGCCATAATGTTTACTTTGATTAACTATAGGTGGCTTGCCATTTGATTGCTGCTAATGTTCTGTGGAACCATTTGTTTTCCTGCAGAGTTAAGGGCATTAAAGGAGGAGGTATTGCCTTCTTTTTGGCATGAATAAATTTAAAAATAATTTTTGTTTGAAAGAGTATTTAAAAAATCCTGAAGAAGCAGAGATTGCCCAGTCTCTTACCTGTCCACTTTGTACATGAGCAGACACCTGGGACAAAGACTTTATTAAGGAAATAGGGAGAATATTTTTGTAAGCAGCACTCTGTTAAGTTATTGGCAACAAATCACTTGTCCCTTTGGACACACAGCACTTTCATTTCTACTGGCAAAACATGGAGGGAGCCTGTTCTAAGTTTACCTGCTATTTATTCTGAAAGGTTTTAATAAAGAATTAATTGTAGAAGGGTTTCCAAGGAACAACTTGAAAGTAAATGTATCCCTGTCCAGGGAAAATAATGATTCTGCTGCATAGTTCAGAATCTTTGGGATTAAGGATGTGGCTGGTGGAATTTATGAAAAGTAGTGTAAATAAATACAACAAGATATGATCATTTGGAGGTTGTTTCTCATAACTGCTCTTTCCCCTCTTTTTGTGTTATTTATTCTTCTCTGATGTGCAGCCCTGTGCAGCCCTTTGGGAGCTGGTGCAGAGACCTGGGCTCTGGCTGCTGGGTCCCCACAGCTGGGATGGGCTGGTCCCACCCCGCTGTGCCCAGAGGGCTCCAGCCCCCAAACACAGCTCAGGAGAAAGCAAACAAGGGAAGGCTCAGGGTCCCTTGTTGGTGTTCAGAGAGATGCTGTACCTGCCGTGGGTGGGGGTTTCACCACCCTACAGCACTCTGGTGATCTTCTTTACTTTCTGTGGAGGAGTCTGTTGACAATGAACTATTTCCCACCTGAAAAATGGAAGCAGTTTTGCTGTTCATCTTCCCCGCTGGAGGTTTTGCTGCAGCAGCTCTGGAGAGCTTGAGGAGCCCACTGCTCTCACACCACAGAGTCAGGGAAAGGCATGTGGGCTTGAAGAGCCTTTTGAGAGACTCTTGAACCTGAACTTGGCTGCTTCTGTTGTGAATGAAAGCAAAGAGCAAATCACCCCTAACCAAGCTCATGTTGCAGTAAAGGGAATTTAAATCCTGAGTGTTTTTGCTTCAAGGCTATACAGACACCTCCATTTGGTCACTGGCCTGTCTTTTTATTTCAGCAACATTGAAGGAATGTAAATTAGAAGCAACAAGGAGCAAAATGGTTTCTATTCCTAAGTAGATGCTTAAGGTAAGGCCATCAGATGCAAGTTTTAATTATCATTGAGGAAATTGAATACTAACATTTTTTTCCTTTGTTTCAGGCTGTAATTATCTCATTTTACACCTTCATGGTCACTGCTTGTTTTCATGGGGAGATTTTTTGCAGTCCCTCACACTGATTTTAAAAACTTCTGAAATTACCATAATTAGGAGTGAAATTAGGAACAGCTCTCCCTAATAACTGCAGATATGATGAGTAACTGCAATTTATATTGGCTTTTTATCACCATGAGTTTTACAAAAAGCAAACAAACAAAAACCTGTCAGCATTCCCACACTTGTTTTATGCTCAACCTGTCCCCTCCCCTCCTGGTTCCTGTGGGCTGTGGCCACACAAAGGCAAAGATGTGGGCTGAGCACGTCTGTCTGTCAGTTTTTGCTGCATCTCCCCAGTGTAACACGGGGATGAACCACACTGGATCTCATCCCCTTATCCCCTCCTCCTCAAGCTCAGCAGCTCACAAGGGTGTGAAAACTGAGCTGACAGAGGACCCAGGGGATGGGAACCCACAACACTGAGTGTTGTGAAGCTATGAGGAGCCAACACAGAAAAGTTTGGCCCCAAATCCTCCTCCCAAGTGTGTCTGCTGGACAAAGGTCCATTGCAACCTCTCTTACCTCAAGATACTGCAGAAGTACTTTAAGAATTAAAAAACATTATGTTTTAAAAAATATATCTGGGGAAGTTGCAGGTTTACTTTTTAGACACAATTGTCTAAAACTCCAGATGTTTCATGTTTAAATCACTTACCATGAACTCAGAGGTCTGATGTTCCACTCAGGCCAATCCCAAAGTTTAGAGGCTTAGGACCATCTAATAGATCATCCATATGTTGTCAGTCTGTCCTTTCAATGATGATTCAGACATTAAACTTCTCATTTTTATGATTTGTCTTTCAGTGTGTTTTTCATTAATATTAAGATAAAAATAAACCCCAGAAAGTTATTAGATGTATGAATGTATCATTAATACAAGTGTTGAATGATTGCGTAAGAAAAGAGTGTTCTTTCTCCTCCCTTGCATTTCCATGGAATAAGAAACTGTAATATTCCTGAAAACCCTCTTTTGAAATGTTGCTTCACAATCATTGTCTAGAAAGATCAGAACATTTCCTGAAATAATGTGGTTTGCATAAGGTCACAATAGCGATCAGAGGGAAGAATTGCACCATGTCCCACTTAAAATATGTCTTTTAACCACTGAATTTGCTCTTCTGTAATTTTGACTATTCCTGCCAAATGAGCATAATCAAGATACCTCCACATATGTTATTGTGCACGTGTCTGTTTTTATATACATACCCATATATATAGCATATGCAAAGATTTTGGTTGTACCACATGCAACTGCAAAAGCAAAGTTACTTCAGAAAATGAACCAGTAACAAAATGCTGTAATTTTTCTTAGAAAGACAAAGAAATGTGAATAAAGATTAGATTTATAAAAACAAAAATTAATCTGGAAAACTCTTCTGCAGTAAGCAGAACTGCTGTTTTTTCTCACAATGGTCAGACAGTCACCTGCAGTGTGGCAGCTGTCCCTGACCACCACTGAGTTCTGCATGCCCATGGCTCTGCACTCCTCTCATAATTGCTATCTTAAAGTTATAGGAAGGTAAATAAAATAAAGGGAGTATCAGAATATCAGTTGTAACAGAGCACTGGAAACCAAAGAGCCACAATGTGTTGTCTGGCTGATGGTGCATCCAAAGTTCATCTGGAAGTTGAAAGGGGCTGCAGGAAGATATCAAATGCTCCTGAGAGATAACAATGTAAATCAGGATTTGTGGTAATTAAGGTATGTGTGGTGAAAACAGAGGCAGATGCCTGTTTAGATTAGTGAGTTGTGCCAACATGATTGGTGCTGAAACTTCAAGAATTGATTGCCAAATTTGTTGTTATTCCCATTCTGGGCAGAGAGTTTGGAGAAGGAGAAGAGTCATTAGCAGCAACTCTCTCAACACGTACCTATGTAATGATAAGTAAAACACCTGAAACATGCTGGGAGGCCCTCTGGAGAACTGGCTGCTTACATGGCCCTATAATTTTCTTTTACATTTTGTCTTTTACCTCCTGGTGTCCTAAAATTATATTTTCCACCTTCTTTTGTCCTAACCCCTGATTTCGGAGACTAAAATGAAACACATGACACATCCTTCAGTTCTCAGAGTCAGTAGGAATATTCACTTGCTGAGAGTTAATCACACACCAAAAAAGCATTTTGAATGGCCATTTTAACCCTGCAACACCCTGCCACATACCAAAGAAAAATGCACTGGCAAGGATCAGAGTTATTCCCAGTGTTGTCTCCCCAGCTCTGTTTATGACAAGAACCTGTGCTTTCAATTTATCATAGTTCCCTCCTGAAGTCTGGTGTTGTCAGGTAAAGCCAAACAGAGCAGATGTTGTTATGATGATGATTATTAACATTATTATTGATGTTTATGAATTAAATCCTGTTTAGGGGAGCAGTCACCTGACTGTTTTAGTTCCGTGGAACTGACAGGACCACTGAGGTCCCCAAGCTTGATTAAAGGCTGTTTTAAATAGGAATGAACCTGAACATATGTTTAATTGCTTCACTAGAAGTATGGAAAGTCTTATTCTCTTCATGGGACAAATCTTTGTTCCTTCCAGCCAGACCATGCAGGCATAAATCATTCTGAACAGCCAAAGAATCCTCTGCCTGCAAAAATTCCCAGATTGATCAAACTTAACACCTAATTACAGAGCTGGTGAACTTACACTGAAGGTGGTTTGAAAGGCTGCCTGGAACATCATGGGTTGAGATGCCTTTTGTTGGGAGCATTGTGCTGTGATGTGTAACGTGGGTAGATTCCTGTGGGATGTTGACAGTTTGTGGGAAATGCATGTAGGAGGAACTGGGTTATGAAGACCAGGGGGTTTAATTTTTTTTTTTTTTTTTTTACTCTCTCTCTCTCTCATTGTACTGCGTGTGGGCATGGAGATTTTTGGGGTTTGGTTTGTTTTGTTGGCTTTTTAAGGTATGGGGAAGGAAGAGGCTTTGGTTTTGGAAAAATCTGGCCACTATGTGCAGTGTGTCATGAGCCACTAGTTCCTGAAGGTTCCTGCACTGGTCCTACCTTCCCAAAAGGATGCTGGTTGATGCTCCTGAAAGCTCTAATGTTCTGTTTTTTGGTTATGGCATTTATACTGAGTGCTAATCATTTGTTAAACTATGGATTTATGTAATAAATTAATTAGCTCTGCAATGTTTTCTCCACTCTCTGCCTGCCAGTCTGCGGGGACTTGTTAGTTTTTTCCCAGTTACAAATAGCTCTCCGTATTATTATTTGCTTTTAAATAATTTGTCAGGCTAATATTTTTTTCCATTTCACACCAGAAGTCGATTTTCTCCTGTGTGTTATCCCAGCCTGAGGCACAGGGCAGGCATGATTTGGGTCTGCACTGGCAGTGAGTTTTCCACACACAAACATCCAGAGTTTAAAGTTCATTGTCTTACAGCAATGCAAGGATAGGGCCAGAAGCTTTGCCATTGGAAAAGGGTGAATCTTGCCTTCATGAACAGCTTAAGGCTAGTATCAACAGGGCATGAGATATCCAAAGTCATAATGCCATTAGTTGTAGAATAAACATTTCCATGGCACCCTCCCTCCCAGGCTTTCTGTTCCCACTCCTGAATGGATGCTGGAATTGGTATGATAACAGAGCAGTATGTGTTTAATCCAGAGATGGTGTTTACAACTTCTTGAAAAATATTTCTTGAGCCTCATTAATTTGCATATTCTAGTTTTCTTCATATGCATTCAGTCAATTTTAATTTTGCTAGAACAAAGCATTTCAGAGAATAGTTTTGTATTGGTGTTGTGACAAAAAATGCAGTCTTTTATCACTCCTTATGGATTTGTATTATGTCATGTTTCCACCTTTTTGAATGAGAGAAACATTGAATAGGAGCACAGGATATTTCATTTGTATTAAACTCATCATATTGAAACCTCTAATATATTTCTTCTTATTTTGCCTTTAAATTAAATGGACCTAATCCTTTTTATCTTTTCACGTAGAAAATTCTTTATTCCTCTATTTATTTTAATTATTTTTATCTGAATCCCCTCTGCTGTTGTATTATCTCCTCCAAAAGCACTGACCAAAACTGAACACAGTGTCCCTGTTGGCAGTGCATTATTCATTTATCTATCACATTATGCTGTTTATAATGTTTTCCACCCTGTCTTACACCTCATAATACACAATTTGTCATTATTTTTCCCACAGATTCCACACTCTACAGAAGCTTTCCTGCAGAGCTGTCGTCAGGAGTGAACCAAGCCTTTTCCAGAGTGTAGCAGTTTAAAAGTCAATAAAGTGCCCTTGACTTTCCAAATTCTTCTTGCTAATTGTCGATGCTTCTCACTTATTAGCATGTACTAGGCTGTCATTCACCTGGCATTGTTAGGGTTGTCACCATGTTTTTCTCCAATTTTATCCAATAATGTGTTCAATTCTGGGCCCCTCACAACAATAAATACTTTGAGGCTCTGGAGTGTCCAGAGAGGGGCAATGGAGCTGGGGAAGGAGGAGCACAAATATTATGATCAGCAGCTGTAGGAGCTGGGGGTGTTTAGCCTGGATAAAAGGAGGCTCAGGTGGGATCTTATCACTCTCTAAAACTCCCTGACAGGAGGTTTTGAGTAAATAGATGTTGGTCTCTTCTCCCAGGAAAAAAATTATAGGACAAGAGAAGAAAGTCTCCCTCAAGGGGAGGTTTAAATTGGGTTTTAGGAAATATGTCTTCACAGGAAAAATTGTCAAGCATTGAAACAGGCTGCCCAGAGAAGTGGTAGAGTCACCAACCCTGAAGGTATTTAAAAGACCAAAAATTGGTCTTCTATATAATCTATTAATTATTATACATTAAAGTGGAAGCATGGCACTGAGGGACACGGTTTGGTGGTAGATCTGGAAGTGCTGTGTTAACAGTTGAAACTGATTCCTTTTCCAGCCCAAGCTCTATGACTCTGCAGGTGTGTGTTCTGCAGATGCTCCCACACCAGCACACATCCCTTTCTCAGGTTCATTTCCACCAGCAGCCCTGCTAGAAGACACGAGACACCCCAGCTCCATTTCTGCCAGGCCATCTGGGTTCTTTGTTCTTTCTCTTCACCTCACGCCTCTGTGCTGTGCCCCTGTGTAGAACTGGCACGGGGCTCCTGCAGACACACCTGAGCTCCTCTGATCTGGCTGGCCCAGGTGGGGCTGGCAGCAGTGTGGGAGGCTGAGAGCCTCCCTGAGGTAGCTGTGATGATCTCTGTGCTGATACACCTCCCCTCCTGCAGCACAGGAGCTACGCTGGCAAAAATTTACTCACTTCAAGCTCCTCAGCCTCCAGCTGCACCTCTGAGTGCAGCTTGTGCATGGACTGAATATTTCAGCCATGAGCAGAGTTTCTCCAGCATCCTGGGCTGCCACGTGCTATACAGCCCTTCAGGGGGAAAATTCACTTTATCAGGGGCTTTTGGATAGTTCTATTGCATAATATCCACTGAGGTAACTCCAGTGATTCTAGATTCTTTCAAGACTCCATCAAGCAAAACTCATAATCTTTTGCTTAATAGTAAGTTACCATCAGTGGGATTTTTCCTGCGCTCACATGTAAAAAATGCATGCTCCTATGTTAAACTCAGTGACATCTTTCTGTTGGAATACTTGGCTGAAGAAACAAGCTGTTTTATGTGATGCAGTCTTCAGACTTTATTTCTAAAAAGTTCATTCCTTTAGCCTACAGAGCAGGTTCTGTGGTGCTGTGCCTGAAAGGCTTCTCACTGATAGCGGGAAATGTTGGCTGCACCACCTTTCTAAACTCTGGCCAAAAGAGCATTCAGATTAAGCAATAATTTAAGCAACATCATCATGAGTGGGGAGAGCACATGGCCAGTTAGTCACCAGAGGTACAGACGCAGGCAGAAAGTAAATCCCCAACCTGTTATAGTAATGCACTTAGTTACTGGAAATGCAATATGAGCCTACTTTCATGAGCAAGGATGAAAGAACTTGTTTAACCTTTGTACAGCATTTTCCACCCACACACGGGAGTGACATCAGATGCTTTGTATAGGTAAAAAAAACAAGTCAGCATTTGGGGGACTCCCGAACAAGAGACAGAGATAACCCCTTACCTCTAAGTTTGTGCATTTAACACACTTGTGGTGGGTCACTTGAAACTTCTTGCTGCTTTTTCCTGGATGCTGATGACTCTGACAGAAAAAAAAAAAAAACCAAAAAAACTTCAGCCCTGTGTGTAACACAGTGGATGTGCAGCACTTACTGGAAGGTATTTTGTGTTTGTGCATGCAGTATAAAGTAGGGCTTTTTTATTTAAATTGGGGGATATTTTAATTTTGAATATCCTGAAGACCAAGTCATTGTCACTGAAGAGGGATTTTTAGGAGGCCAGTAATTAGCTGGCCTTTAATTAATGTCATAAAGCCTGGGAAGGGGAGTTGGAGTGAGCATCACTGAGCCAGATAAGCAGGGCTGGAAGGGGCTGGCTCTGTGCAGCACCTGGGTGGATTTCAGCCCACTCAGTGCCACCTGAAAAGCCCTGCAGGATTTCTGAAGTTCAAGATCTCCTGAGCAGCTCCATGCTAACCTTTGTGTTACTTTCAAAATATGTTGGGGCTTAGTTCCTGTGTGTCCCAACATGCAACGAGATAGAATTTGGTTTTAATTGATGGTTTTGATTTTTGGAACAATCTGATTCCTCTTTCCTCTCCCCTGCTCACTTTCCACCCCTCAAAAATGCTTGATAAATAAACTTTGAAGTCCTGGGAGAAGTAGCAAGTGTTAGTGAAAGGAGAAGGTGGGGGTGGCAGGGGTGGTGGAAGGAGCTCAGTTTGTCAACACAACAGCCAGGAAGAAAGTTATTTATAAGGCTTGTGGTGGAGAGGGGGCCAGCCCACATGTTTTTAAAAAAGAGCTTAGCTAATCACATGGTGCAGCTATTTCTGATATTTGTAAATACATTTCACTGTCCCTTGGTGGATGAAAGGAGAGCTAAAAGAGGATCACAGCTCAGGACATGACAAGTCCATCTCTACACCCAAGAGCTGCCTGTGCAGGCGCCCAGATTTCTCTGGACTGCAGTGATCTCCTGAAAAGGACTTTGCTGTCCCTAGGCAGAGCATGAATGGAGGTGCACGGGAACTGATGATTCCTTGGAATTCAAAAGTCCTAAATAATGGCTCTGACAATGCTCAGCCTAAATTCTGAATGCATTCTTAAACCACAGAATGCCTCATTTTCAGCAGGGTTTCGTGACTCTCTCAAGGTGGAAGTTGACTGTGAGAGGCATATGACCATGAGACTGTACTTGGCTGGACTCATATCAAAAGTGAATTTTTGACACACAAAGATTTTTAAATCCACTGATTCAGTACAATTATATTTATTATTTTTTTTTCTGTGTGGAGCTTATAGTGAGCCATTCTTGTGGGTTCAAAGACACTCAAAGTCCCATGATGGAGGCATGACATAGACTTGACGCTGCTGCTACATTCCTCATTTCAGCAACCATGGGAAGGCTGTATCCTCCTCAGCTAAAAAAGGCCAAAAAAAATAGCTTTATCTCCAGAGGGATAGTCTGCAATTTAGTGCTTGGCCGGGCAAACTCAAATCACATGCGTATGTCTCTCTCTCTCTCTATATATATATATTTATATACATAATGCATAGACAGAAATATACATATATATATATAAACAACAGTATTGCACTCTTCAATACAGTAATACTTAATTTCACTTTCTTACACTAAAAAACCAAATCACACAAGTCCATTTCCCTTTTTTCCTTAAAGAGCAGTAAAAGACTTAAGCATGTGACATAGCAGATATTCAAGTGTTTGTACCTTTTTTTTATACTTGGAAAAGTATATTATAAACAGATACATGTATAATAATAATAATAGTAGTAGTAGTAGTAGTTAGGTGTGCCTTGTTAAAGAAAAGGAAAGCAGAAAGAAGCTGCAATAGGTATTGCTGTAGAAACCCCCCTGAGTTATGGCCATTTACTGTTTGGAAAACTAAAATCACGTCAGGGCATGCCCTGCCCTTCATCCTCTGGATGTGATCCCAGTGGGATCCTGCAGAGCTCTGGAAGTGCAGCAGAGCTCCAGCTGGGGACGTGCCATCACCATCAGGAACTCACAGTTAGCGTGGAATGAAATTTCTGGGTGAAATTCTGGCCCTGTTGACCTTGGCAGGTGTTTTGCAATTCAATGAAATGGAAAGAATTTAATCCTCTTTGTCCAGAAGAAGAGAGAAGAGAGAAGTTGTGAATCAAAATTTATACCCAGGTACAAAACTGAGGGAATTTTATACTTTTGGGTATCAGGGGATCTGCTCTTGGTCTGGAAGGTCACTGGATGAGTCAGGAAATGAAGCAATAGAAAAAAATTCAGTGTCATATTCACTGTGTTCCAAAGAGGTAGGAAATTAGCATCAGTTATAATTTAAATGTACCTTGCTGACAAGATTTACCAGAAGTTTCCCACACCTGATAATGAGAATATGTGACAACTTTTACTCTCCCTAAAACAAAATAAGGCATCCAAGAGCAAACTTGGAAAGCTGAAGCTACATTTTGAAAACAAAAAGCTCTAAGAGAAATAAACATCTGGAAAAGATCTTCTAGAGGACATTTTGGTACCCTAAAATGGAGGGCACTCTGTGCCCTTCCAATATTGCATACAAATGATGGAATTTGCTGCACCCCAACATCATTGTGAAGGGTGTTCCTTCCTAGCCAGCAGAACATGACATTGGAAGGACAACAAAAGGAGCACTTACTTAAAAGTTAGTGTTCCTATTTAGCCTGTAAAGTCTTATAAACAGGGGAAGACTAAATAGAATTTCTAATTTATATGTGTATATGAAAATAGATGTTTTACAATCTACTCTGTGTCACTTCTCAGGCCGGTTCAAACAGAATGTATTTAGGGATGCACAAAGAAATTATATTTCAATTTAAGTATAAAAACATGAAACTTTCATTTCAGTCTTTGGTTTTATTTTTAGTCTAATATTTATATTCCTTCATAAAGGTAATGTATCAGCAAAAGCTGTTCTGGCCCTACAAAATACAAAAATTGTCTCTAGTAATTTGCAGAGGTGTCTGAGCCCAGCATTCTTCACTGCACAGTTTGCTGAATGTAACGTGGTGCTGCTCTTCCCAGAGGATCATAAATAATGTTTTCACTGGAAGTTTAGGAGGCTTTTTGTCTTTAAGACTCTCCCACATTGATATCAAGCAAATTTCTGTTCTGTGTTCTTGTGTTCCATAAAATAAGTGAAAGCAAGCAACATCTGAGTTCCCAGCTATGGTTTCTGGCTGATACTTTTCCCAGAAACAAATTCAGGCAGTCAAATTGCAGCATTCCTCTCCAGTTCAATTTGTAAAAATACAGTTTTGTGCTTTCAAAGTTGGGTTGCAATTTCTTGGTATTTTACGTATGTTTTGAACCATGATCAAGAAATGATAAACTGATCTCATCTGCAACACCATCAGTTTAAAATGTTATAATAACTTTGGCTAATTATTTAAATTGATTGCAAACAATTCTAATGAGATCATTTTATGTGAATATATTTTTAAATGATACGTAATTATCTTAAATTGGGACAAGTGTTTAAACTGGCAAGCAAACTAATTGAGACAAATGTCTCAAAGCCATGATCTCTTGTCTAGGAGAGGAAATGTTGAAGTAAGACTGAGAGTGGATAAAATTATAGGATTTGTAGAACTTACACAGGGAATCTGTAACATCTTAATGTCAAATCAATCAATCCATTTCAAGCAATTATGTTCTTTCTAGGCCGACTATGGATCCAAACCAGAAGTCTGTTCTTCAGAAATATTTGGTATAAAAATTCTGATTCTTAATGCATTTTATGGACTTTGAGTAGAACTGGAACAAAATTTCCATGGAGAGCAGGTCCAGCACCAGTGATCCATCCGTGAAGCTGTGTGCTAGCATTGATCAGGCTGTGTTGCAAGTATTGTGAAACTGCAATATTTGTTCTGAAAAGGCACAGATCCCGAGGCTCCAGAGCCTCAGCCACTTTATTTTTGATTAACAAACTATTTCTAGCACTGAAGCATGAACTTTTTTATTCTATACAAAACATAGTCTTGACTTATTAATGGAAAATCATAATTAGACTCAATTTTGTGTTTTCTCTTCTAGATATTTGTAGGGCAGAGGTGGCATTTAATTAGGGAAGAAAGAGACCAGAGTTTTGCACTCTTAACCTACCAAGCCGTGGTGCTGCCCTGCAGAAATCTCTCACGTCTCCCATGTACCAGGCAACAGCAAATGAGCCCATGTTCTTCCTGCTCAGATGACCAGCTGGGTAACAGTTAATCCTGACATTTTAAATAGAACTGACAATTCAACAATAGTTGCTACAGCTGTGAGGGAGTTCATTACGCCAAGGGACTGCATCCACAATGCACAATGGAAGTGAATCTGGGGAGGATTTGAATAAAAAGGAGCTGAGCTGTTCGGAGGGGAAATGTGGAAGATTAAATAGAGTCAAGAGCATGAAGGCTGCCTTTGTATAAATATGAACATATGAAAAGAGGTTGTGGATGGAACTGAATTTCACCAGGAAGGTGGGCTCCCCGTGCACAGCCTCTGTGGGCTCAGCTTCCCTGTCAGACCTGGATTTTGCCAAAGTGCAGCACAGAGTGAGGAAACTTCAGACAGAGCTGTGGTACAGAGGAGAAGCTCAGGAGGACAAATAAACCAGCCAAATAAATAGAGTATTGGACACCTAGAAAGAACACATGGTATAATTCTTTTTCTTTCATTTAATGGATCCTAGAAGACAAAGTCTCTGTTCAGGATGATCTGTCAAGGTAGATTTCAACCGTGCTGTATTGACATCCTCAGAAACCCCTCGCCTAGATGTTGGTTGATTAATAACATTAAGAAAGGTGGGCAGACAGTAATGGGCTGCAGGCTAAAAAACATAATTCAAAACTACATAAAAATGTGTGTTAGGCTATTGGGAGAGCTGTGCAGTGCCTGGTGTTGTGTGACCCAGCCTAAGGAGAGATGCATGAAACAAACCTGCATGTAGAGTCCTTAGAAGGCAAGGAGCACATGAAACCACATCAAGGTCTCTGTGAGCTCCTTCACAAAAGTTGACAGGCAGCTTGCTTAAAGAGCAGTGGCAATGATGAGAGAGACAGAGACAGAGAATGTAATTGGCTAGAAATAATTTTACTGCTAGAATGCTCTTTTCAACTGCTTGCTATAGCTTTCCAGCAAGTTATTTGCAATTTCAGCCCATGTTTAGCAAAGTTTCATTTGAAACAAACAAACAAACAAAACCCCAAAAACCAAAAAGCAAAACCAAAATAAAACAAAACAAAAAAAAATATAAAAGGGCAGCTATAATCCTATGTGTCTGCTGAGAAAATAGTACTAGCTGACAAGAGGAAAATATGACTTGGGCAGCAGTCTTAGCAGCTTTTGATCTTTTGGAAAAACTTAGACTGGATGAAAAGAGAGGGAGTGTGTGAAAGGTGTCTGATGCTGTGCTGCTGAAGGGGGGAGGGATGAGTGGGTTGTGGTAGTTGTTTTTAAACTGTATTAATAAAATGTCTGCAAAAAGGACTGGTGATATCCTTCCTGAACTAAAAGGAAGACAGAAGAGAAGCCAGTCCCACCTGCAGCCCATCAGCTCCCATCACAGCTGTTGGGATCAGAGGGATACAGGGAGGTAGTCCCAGGTGAGATGCTGAAAATGAGACCCTTAGAAGCATCACAGTGGCCTGGCTTCAAAACTGGTGGTGCACCACAAGCCCTGGAATTGTTTCACACCTCTGGCATGGAGTTTGCTCCCACAAAACAGGAAAAAAAAATCACAGAATGATGTGGGTTGGAAGGGACCTTACAGATCCTCCAGTTCCAGCCTCCCTGCCATGGGCAGAGATTGAGTGGTCATGGTGCCCTGTGGCTCTTGAGAAGTAATCTCAGAAACAGTTTTCTCAGAAATAATCTGAGAAATAGTTTTGGATCAGCCAGGACCATGCTTTAATTAGGCACAGTAGTATTGTTTGAAAAACCTGGCAACACACTGGCCATGGCTGATATTAAGAGAACCTGAAAAATTATGAGAGAGGCCCTCATATATGTTTTTTTTTCATTGTTCTTTATGCAATCCAGTGCCTTCAGAGAGCAGCTGTGCTGTTTGTTTATTATTGTCATTAGCTTTTATTAGATTCAATGCAACTTACCTCAGAGTCCCTCTGTGTTTCAGTTTCTGTTTTGACATCATTATTTGTACTGAGGAACATTTCAATATATTGTAGAAATTATTATAAAGTAGATTATTATATGGTAAATTATTAAAATTTCTTATATAATATTTTAATAAATAATGACCAATTGTTGAAAACATATTAAATGCAGATACTTCTGCAGCTGGCTGAGGGGAGACCAAGCAATTCAAGCAGCTATGAAATGTTTATATTAGTAGTATCTATAGGAAAATGGAGGATTTTTTAAACACAAACTAAACAATGCTTTGATTGAGATATGATCTTGAGGTGAAGATCTGTAGCAGTTCTAGCAATTGATTGACTCTGCATCTATCTACCACGGTAGCTAAAATTTCTTTCGATAAATATAAAAATGCTGTAGAGCTGAATGCTATTTGTTTGCTGTGCAATTAAACTGTTAAGGTCGACATTTCAATTACCATCATTAGCCCTCAGCCTGAGCACCCCACCGAGAGGGATGGCATCAGTTTACAACCACCCAGAGCTGCCTGGCTCCAGGCTCTCTGAAGAGCTGGGCACAGCTCCCTGTGCTGAGCTCCCGGTGACCCAGTGTCTGGCAGGCTGCTCCCATCCCCAAACAGGCTGGGAATGATGGTTTAGTTCCCAGTACAGTTATTTTCCCACTTTTCCCCACTGCAAGCCAATTTCAACAATTTGTGATGGCTGCTTGCACTCGTTTCTTCAAGTGAAACCCATGTCCTCCTGTTGTCAACTTCTGCCCCGCTCTCACTGGAAGCTTTCTCACCCTTCTTCTCCTCTACTCTATTCCCAAACTTTCTTTGCTTCCCTATCTTGTTGCACATGTGCCCCACCAGAGCCCTGTCCTGCTTCAGAGCCTGTGAGGTTGCTGGCTCTGGAACAGGACCTGCTGCATCTGCAGAGGGGAGTGAGGGTGTGACAGACACAGAGCCAGGAATTTTTGTCTTTAGGAATTTTTGTCTTTTTTTTTTTGCCCTGAGCCACTGCCCCTCCCCAGTTCCACCCTGGCATTTCCATGACCACGTCCCCTGGTCGAGCAAGGCACCAGTGACCTGGGTGACACCAAAGGAGGGGAAGAGCAGCCAAGTGAGAGAGGGGAAGGTGGCACATTCAAAGCAGAGCTGGCAGTTTTGTAAAGCTGACACCAGCAGTGACAATGGCCAGGCAGATTACCCAATACACCTCAAAGGTTTCATCAGGAGAAGGCAAGAAACTCTGGTTTCAAGAATGGAAAATTTGGAATCGTTCTGTCCTGTATGGGGAGATAGTTCAACCTCGAATGCAGCTTTTTGTAGGGTACCTCACATTTGTGTATCATCTCTGAAGCTGCTCCCTGACTCACACCCAGTCTATGTGCTCTAAAGGCAGTCATGAAGGTATCATGCTCACAGGAGCCAGAGGATGGATGGATCTTCCCAAACCTGCAGGCAGAGCTGTGCAGAGGTCTCAGGGAGCTGCATCCTCTTCATTTAGGATACCTGACACTCTTCTTTCTCTGAAGCTTTCCTTTTGCAGTTCCCCTTCTGCAGGGGTGGGATGAGAACAGACTGCCTAGATTTTTTTGTGCATTTCACCAGTGCTGGGTTGGGCACTGGGTTGGTTGGTTTTGGGAGATTTAACCACATTATCATTGCAGACAGCTCCTCATTGTGCAAGGTCACCAGTCCAGATTGTGGGGTGAAGAGATGGCCAGCATGAACCCCTGTGGTCCTGGCTGGTCTCTTCACTCCAGCTCAAAGCTGACCATGGATGAACAGTGGAACCATGACATGACCATGGATATCTCCACCCTGTGCTTCCAATTCCTGCATTATCCCAGCCCCTGATCACAGGGAAAGGGGAATTGATTGAAACCCAGAATTACACTACAAGCATTGCATTGGCAGGCTTGCTAGTGTGGAGTATCAAATTAAAAGTGACAATAACACTTTTTTTTTTCCCTTTTACTTTATGAGCTTTCATTTTTAAGTCTGGCAAAACTGATGCAGAGATAAGGTGACTTATACAATGTCACTCATCCAGCAAGTATCAGTCAAAATAGAGACTAAGTAGCCTGAATCCCTTTATAAGCAGCTTTTGTCTCATATTTTGGCCTGACTTAGCATCATCTCACATCCCAAGGACTTTTAAGTGAATACTGTCTTCAGCAATGCATGACAGTGACTGCATGACATTTCCCAGGTTCCTGAAAACTCAATACAGGAATCCAGTGGTGATTCTGATGTGCTTTTATGTGCACATCAAATCAAACCTCACCTTAGTACACAGGCACATTACAATGTCAGCTTCATCCCCATCATAACTCTGTTGGCTCTAATGGAGCGGCACCAGAAACGAGGTTTGGCTGTGAAATGCTACAGCAAGTTTCAGGAACAGGCTTTCCAGCCCATGTGCAACTATTTTCCACAATGGCAAGAAGTACATTATTCAGTGAATGAAATAGAAACACTGACAGTCTGAGTGTGATGTTGAAGAAAGACTTTTTTTCTTCATGCGTTGAAGGAAAATGAACTGGCTGTGTTTAAATATGTGGCCAAGCATATGTGATGAATAACATATAAAATGACTCGAGGAAAAAAAAAGCAGGACATTTTCAGCATTGCTGGGAGCCATGCTTTTAGACCAGAATTCATACTAAATCCAGGTGATGGGACTTTTTTTTGGTTTGACTTTTTTAAAAAAAATTTAAATCCAACTCAGGTTTATCAGAACATGGCAGAAAAAATCCTGTCCACAGCATTTTTCCCTGTGGGGAAGGTCATAGTGGCAGAAATTTCACAAGGACAACTGGCATCATCCTGTCCACAGCATTTTTCCCTGTGGTGGAGGTCATGATGGCAGAAATTTCACAAGGAAAACTGGCACCAGCACATTTCCACCTTTCAATTGGTTTGGGGCCAAAATAGTAATTGATTTTTCACTTTCTGCTGGAGATTGTAAATAGCCATAGTGTCTTTTTTTCCCTGCAAGTTTTTTCATTAGTATGGCACTAATGAGATACAACAGAACTACATCTGATCAAATTTTAATTTCTTCATCTTATCGTTAAATGTAATAATTTATATTTGGCACATTCAATCAAATGGGACCTCAGATACGTTATCTTTAATGAAATATAAAATAAATGACAAAGAAGATTGGAGGATTTCTTGGGTACTACTGTGAGTAGTAAAACCAAAGCAAATTGGTCAATGAGTATTCAATTCCTTTATTTAAATACCAACAGAGAAAAAGGTAAACAAAAATATATTTGACAGTGAGTATGTCCAGTGGGAGCATTTCCTTGTATTTTACTTTATAGTGGCTAAACATTAAGTCAAGCCTTTAAGTTGAATTTAATGTATTAAAGCAATAACAATCAAGGCACAAGGCATTTCCTGGGAATTAATGACTGACTGGGAGACTTGATGGGCCAACATGAAGCTGAGGGCCATTAACCTTGGCTAGTCATTAATTTCCCTGAAAATTCCCTGTGCTGAAGTTGTTTGTGCTTTTCATAATTTTCTTATCTGTTAAGTGTAAATATAAATATTTTCTCTCATGTCCAAGAAATTTTTTTAAATAATCCATAGGATGGAGCTAAGCAGCAGTGTGGCTCCAGGTGTCCCTTCCAAACCCAACCACTCGGTGACTCTGGGGAAACAGAGAGTTTTGACCACAGAAAATATTCTCTCAGGAAATTCTTATGAGTAAATGCTGAATTTCCAGCATTTTCTGAAGGCCTTGCATGGCGGCAGGCTCATGAAATCAGATGCTGAACTGTCTCATGGAGTATAAAACCAAAAAGAGCAGTCGTGATCCTTTATTCTGATGAAATTAAATTCCTTTGTACATATCCCTTACCAGGTCATCTTTGTGCATTATTAGTTGTTATTAAAAAATTCACTGCAGTAATATCTCAGGGGCTTTGGGGAATGGCTTCCTTTTGTGTCAAGGGAACAGAAAAGACCCCCAGACATTCCCATGGCATCCACAATCTCAGTTCTCCTACACTGCTTGGGACAATAAATAGATGACCCACAGCAACTCTGAGGAACAGAAATGGTGATGGTATTCTTTGTCTGGCTTTTATTTTTTTCCCTTGATGATATTGATTTAACCTTTATGAAAATTAATCTCAGGAGAGGGACAGAGCCTGAAGATTTTATTTTTAAGACTTGCAATTTGCAAGAGCAATTGCAAATTCTTGCTCTTCCTGTTTTGGTTTGGTTTTGTTTTGTTTCTTTTCAGGTTTTTTGTGTGGTTTTTTTTGGTTTTTTTTTTTGGGGTGGGGGTTTGTTGTGCTTTGTTTGGGGATTTTTTGTGGGAGTCTTTTTGAGTTTGTTTGGATTTTTTTTGCTGGGATTTTTGTTTTTTGTGGATTCATTTTCTTACTTGATGAAAAGGTTATTAGTTAGTGCCTCCTAACTTCACCAACCTGCTTTGAGGAATCATTAATTCATCTTATAATTGGCAATAAAATGTTCCATCTCACACTGTAGCATGCTTAAAAATCAGTGACTGCTACAACAAATGAAAACTCAGCATGTAGAAGTGTTGAAAAAATATGCTGAACCATGTCTAGGGAATTTTATTCATCCTGATATTTTTGTGCACCTGTGAAGTAAATTGGGGCATATGAGCCCATGATTAAATGTAGGTAGGAGAGTAACTCTAACCCTGTATTAAACCTAGGGATGAAATTACTCACATGAAGAATAATCTCTGTATTAAGAGATTTGAGATACACCCCTTCAGCATGGAGAAGTAAAGAAAAAAAATCCATTATTGGCAAAGGGCCACTCCTGTTAAATCTGGAGTCCAGCTTCTGTTTAGGCAGCATTGCTATACAATTTTCCATAGCTCTGTCAATTTTCTTCACGCTCTCAAAGTAATCAGGGAATTGGAATGCAACCCTGGCTCCATCTGATCAGAAGCATAATAGGAGAGATCACCTCCCCCTGTGCCCTGTCCTGACTGTGAGTAGGAGAAAGGAGGGCTAAAGAGGATCCTGAACCAAAGGTATTTCATTCAGCAGACTGTGGGGAAACTGTGACCCAAGTCACAATCTGAACTTCGTGTCTGACTCTTCCTTCTTGAATGGGCTACATTAAAACTTAAAACCCAGTAAATGAGGTTGAATTGACAGAGGGGAAAAGACAATTCAGATGCATACTGTGCTGTCTCAAACAGTGGCAAATTACCCAGTAGGAAAATACAGAAAGCTGTATCAGTGCCTTTTCTTTTTGGCAAAACTGTTTCCACTAACTGAAACAATTGCCGGTGAGGAGATTGTATTTTATCATTTGAAATGCAGCCCCAGCTGCAAGAGTTCTATTAGATTGTCTAGCTCAATGTTTTATATTTATTCTTATCATTTAGAAGCATCAGATACTCATATCTTGAAAGGTGCCTCTTCAATAAGTGTTTAGTACTCACACGGGTGATAACACTGCTTTGGAGTTAACTCAATTTCACAACCTGTGAGTTCACAGTATTATCATGGAAAGGTCTTGGAGTTTATTTACATCAAATTGACCCATAATTAAGTTTGGCACTTGCATATATAAGATTTGTGATTTCTCTAGTGCTTTCTCTCCAAGGTGTTCTACAATTCTTCCTTAGGCAGTCAGTCATCTGATTATCCTATCATGGCTGTTATAAACCCCTCACTTTAGAAATGTATATATAGCATGGGTAGTTAGAGACAGAGCCCTTACAAATAAATTTTAAGAATATATTCTAAAGAGATCCAAACTACTGGAAAATGAACAGCCCACATGTTGCAGTGTTACGAGCTGAAATGACTGTAGAGAGCAGAAAAAGGGGTACTGGAACTTTTCCTCCTGTGCAGCTGTGTAGTGGTTGAAGAAGTGTAATCAGGCAGCGAGATGTTTGCAGAGAATTGCAGTTACTCTGCTAGTTGAGGTGTTAGGGCTGGATTGGACTTGATGATCTTGAAGGTCTCTCCCAACCCAGTGATTCTGTGTGATCCTCTGTGATTCTGTGTGACTCATTAGCGTGGCAGCTATCTGGTTAACCAATTAAGAAATTATATTGATTTACACAGAAGTTCTTTGAAATGCATGTCAGTTTTATTGCAAATGCTTTTAATAACCAGCGGTGTCTCTAAATGGGTTTGGTCCAGGGAAGTGGTTGCATTAGAAAACAGATTAATGAACGGCTTCAATGGTTGATGTAGACAAAAAAGGGATAAATTTCCCAGGGAGTTATGTGGTCATGGACATCTAATTTGTAGGCCCATATTAGCTACAATCCATTTAAAAGCAAATAAAAATTTGTAATGATTTCCCAGTCTGTTGGAACAGAGCTTTTCTGTTTTAGATGAAAAATACAGGGTTTTTTTAACCTGTATTGGAATCTAAATGTAAACTGTATTGCTTTTTGGCTTCTCCTTGAAGAGGGTTTCAGCAAACCAATGTATTCTTTAGGGGAAAGAAGAATAAGAAATGGGGGAAAAGTGACAAGATCCACTGAAATCCATTTGGAGAAGAAGATAGTAAGGGTTTGGACAGACCTGTGGTCAAGACCATCCTAAGAAATAAGACAGATTCTACTCCATGTGTTTAGTTAACAAGAATCACTGATCATGAACCTGTTACAGATATGGCAAAAAAAATACTTTAAAGCACGGTAGATGAAGTAGGAGAGTTTCATTAAATGATTGTGTTTCCATGGAATTGACACTCCAGCCTTACTTTGCTCGAGCTAGATGGTTGCTGGCATTATCATATTCATTGAGTAGAGACCAGAAATAGTTGGTAACGAATAAATTGATGTGAAGGAAAAATCTCATTTTCTTGTCCTGATGGTTGGAGTTTATTAACTCCAAAAGAAGGAGTTTGGAATGATTGTAACACCATCAAATTGAAACAGCCTATTGCCTTAAAATGCTGTCCAGGTTTTGTAAACATTTTATCACTGAACATAACTCTCAGCTATTCTTTTCCAAAGAAGGAGAAAAAGGCTCTTGATGGTCCTATTATTAGAAGGATGATAATTTAACAGGGGAGGAAAGATGTAACGTGAGGAAATTGGTTGTTGTTATAGGCAACTGTTACTCATTCCCAATGATTTCAGCTTCTTCGAGGGAGAACTTGTTCTAGGGGAGCTGATCAGTTGCCTCCTGGATTTTCTGGCTTGGCTGGAGACAGAGCCTTTGTAGTTCTGTTTGCTTAGGTGTAGTGTGCAGGATTATAACATTTCCTTACCCTTGCAGAGGTCTGGCCACACATCTCCCACTACCACCATGAGCAATTCCTTCCCACTGCCAGCTCATTTCCTTTGCTCTTCTGAATCCCATGTCAGGGCATTTAATCTTCTCTCCAACTCCGAAGTTGTCTGGTGTAAATTTCAGTGCTCACTGGCTAATGAATGTCTCTAAGCAGATGTTTAAATTAATGGTTTTAACTAGAACTGTTTTTTTACTCCATATCTCTGCCTGTTTTTGTCTCTGATGTCCATTGGGGAATGTTGCAGAGCTTTGACAGAAGTTGAAGATATTAAAATAACCTCATTGATCCGTGCTGATGTTCAGTGTACATAGCAAATTGAGGCAAGAAGACTCCCTGAAATTAGGATAACTTTCCAGCTGCTTGCACTACATTTTGCATAGTTCATAAGGGCTGTTTAACACAGATTTCTCATTAGCACAATATTCTTGCATGCTAAATGTTTTATAGGGTATTTCTTTTGCTGCTATTACAGGCAATGGATGGTTTTCCTACAAGAAAATTGGTTCTTGATAAATGGGCTTATGAAACGGTTTTAACTCCTTACTACTACTCAGAAACATCATGTGCTATCCTAACTCTGTCTTTGTGTTCATCTGTGAACATCGAAGAGCATACACTGTTATTTTTCCTCAACCAGCTGTTTGCTTTATTATGCCAAATTCTGGTTTCCTTAGAGTAGACTGAATCATTCTTTTGATTATTAATGGATCAAAATTTGCTTCATCACCTCACTGACTCTTAGAAGGGACTGTGCATGTTGAGAACAAAAACCTATTTTCTCCAAAGTAGTTTCTATAAACTCCCTCGACACAAAGTGAAAGATCTCTGTGCCCACTATTCGGATTTCCCTATACAATAAACAAGGGTGTAGACCATCCTGGAAAGTTTAAGATTATGACCTCATGTTCTTAGAGCCGTAAGCACACTTGGTAGCAACTGAAACAAGGAGTTAGACCAGAAAAATACTGGAGTAGAAGAGATTTCACCTGGTCTGGTCTCAGATGGACATGGTGTGGCAGATTAGACCTGCAGACACAGGAGGTTTCTTAGTAAGTTCTGGTGGAAGGAAAGGGAGAGGTGATTTACCAACACATAAAATAAATGGATGGTGCACTGAGATGTATCAGTAGGAGTACTGAGTCACAGCTCATCATCTGGAAAACTGGAAATTTTCAGTACTACAGCAACGCATTAGTTGATGTATATATTTTGGGAATGAGGGGACAGTGATAAGTAATGCTTTCTGGAGCATATTATAAGAGAACTGAGTTTTATCTTCTGAGTGTTCCCATCCTATAAGTTTTCCTGTCAGATTTGGGAGAACAATATTTCACTTGGCTTTCAGTTTGTCTCTGAATCATTGTTACAATGGAATTTATTCTTCCAAGCCTGAATTGCTGAAGAAAAAAAGGCAGAGCTGTTTGGGAGGTGGGTGGTATAGAGGAGAAGAGGTGAAAGAAAGGGTCTGTGCATGACTGATCTAATTTTCTTCATCTTACACACTCAAGGCAAGTATGATAGTGTCTGATTAATAGTTTATTAAGTGACCAAATGCTTATTTTCTGGGTTTGAAAATAAGAATTGAGAGAGCTTTTCTCCTGTGATGGGCTAGATTTAACAGCAGTGTTGTGTAAGACCTGAAAGGAACAAGGATTTCTTTTGCAGAGGGAACAGTCTGTGCACTGGCCATGCTTCAGTGAAAAAGACAAGAACTTGCTACTAACATTTAATGTATTTGTAACAGTTATAGGAAAGACACCTGTTGACAACATATTATGTTTATGAAGGTCTTAGTGGAAAATGAATTCTTCTGCACTGGAGGCATGTCAATGTGGTTTCTATTGCTGAGGGAGTGTTTGAAGAGACACAGTCCTCAAAGTCATGGGCAGACCTTACTGTAGATAAATATGGAATTTCATATGATATTCACCAGTTGGTAACTCTTGGTATATGGATAGTTGCATTTAATTGAAATTTAAGTGAGGAGGTAAAACTGAAAAACTTAACAGTTTTGTCTTATGTACCATAAGCTCAAAAGAAAGATGATAAACATAGTCTAGAGATAAAATAAAATTTATTGTGTATCAGCTGTAAAAGCTTGTTTTGTATGTTTAACAAATGCCTTTTTAAGCAGAGCTATGGCACAACCATTTTAAACATTCACATTGTTTTCTAAATTATTGCACCAGTGTGCCACTAGGTTTTTAGGTTTTGAAGGAAAAGACTAGGAGTGTTTTCTTGGATGGAGTAGATTAAAGAAAATTTCTACATGCCTCTATCAATTCTTATCCTCATCTTTATTGGGTTAATTTATACTTTTTTTTTGTGTGTGTGAGCTTTGTTTGATTTTGATATTTTTACATTAGGAGCGGCTGCAGATATGATTAGATAAAAATGCTGTTTATTAATCTAGTGGAATTAAATTGTACAAACTTCTCTCAGATAAGTACCTTTCTATGTTGCTATCAAAATATGTGTGTTATATTAGCTACTTTTACGGATTTCTGGTTTACTACTCATTAAATATTCAGGTAGTCTGGCGTCTCACTTATGAAATGTAAGAAGAGGAATTGAAATTAGCCTTAATTCTCCAGAAGGCTACATGAAGAAAAGTTATTTTATTTTTGTAGCTTACTTCTTAATATGTCTAGACTGTAGGGTGATATCACAGTTTGTAACATGATGTATAGATTTCTGGCTTACCTTGAAAAGGTTGGGTCCCAAAATATTAGGATTAGAATGAAACATTTGGGAAAGGTAAAGGTTGTCTTAAAGTGTTGTATTGTGTTTTTACGTTTCTGTAATAGTCTGCCCCTTCATCCCCCATTTTCTCCCCATAGTTCTACCCCGAGTTTTCCCACCTTTCCCCTCAATGTCAATCTCCCCAAAACCTCCTAGTCATTCCCCTGTCCCCTCCCCCCGTCCATCACTCGGCTGCCCATCCCACTCTTCCAGAATCTTCTACCCTGGACCTCGAGGGATTGGATGAGGACCAGGGGGCCTCCCTTAGGTTTTCCCCATTGGTTTTTGTATCTATCTATCCTTTCACCTTCCACTCCCCCAAATCCCCTCATTGGTTAATGGGCATCCCTCGTCCCCTTGTTACCACCCTCTGCTGTTGGGAGAGTCTTGGGAGGATTCTTGGGTGTTGGATTTTCTGGAGTTTGGAGCTCTTTGGAGCCTGGATTAAACCTGAGACTTTCCCCAGCTTGAGTCGGTTCCTTTATTGCCTCCTGGGATGCTGTCTCTCCTCCACACAAGGCAGACAGTGTGACTTTCTGCCTTAGCCGCTCCCCAAATCTCCTCGAGATCCAGGGCAGTGTCCCCTGAAAGTGAAGCCAGGGGACTTCAGGTGGGCACAGCAGCATTAAACAAAGTGGAATCTATTGCTGTGGGAAGAATGAATGTAGGGTATGTCTATTACACAAATCTGAAAATGGTTATCAGTTGGTGTGATGCTGCATCAATGCATTCAACTCCTCCCAACGCTGCTTCACTGGGTTGTGCTAGGGCACACTCTTAATGCCAACATCACCCATTTGAACAAAAAGATAGTCAAGAATTTAAACACATCATGTGTTTCCAAGATGCAAATACACCAGGCAAAAGAGAATGAGAGAAGCGCTCATAAGGATGAGCTGTTCTTCTACCAGTGCGAGAGCTCAGACGGCATGTGCACAACCTCAAGTTGAGCTGCAGTTTTAGTTACAACACAGACATTTTCCTAACACTTTCCTGTATTTACCTGCTGCTTTCCTCGAGTTTTTAAAGCATCGCAACTCAAATTTTTAAGAGCCTACCACCTCCCGCTAGGTTATCCTCCCAACGCCAGCTGTCAGAGACCCATCAACAACTGGGCTTCCAGCACGTTCCTGAACACGTAAATTATTTGTAGCGGCCGAGACTCCTCGTTTGTTTGGGCGGCAGAGCGGGGAGGCACTCGGAGCTTCTCCAACGCCTCCCCGCCGCGGGGGCGGCGAACATCGCGGCGCTCGGGGGCTGCGGGCACAGGTGGGACGCGGAGCCGCGGGAGCGTCACCGCCACCTCCTCCCTTCCTCCGCAGAGCCCGAGCCCGCGGGCGGCTCCGGCGGGAGCCGCAGAGCTCCGCGCTGGCGGAGGCCGCTGCGGTGAGCGCGGCCGGAGCGGGGGCGGCTCCGGCGGGGCCGGGGCGCGGACAGGTGGGTGGCGGGCGGTGCGAGCACGGAGCGGGGGCGGGGGCGGACCGGCCGTGCGCAGGCGGCGGCGCGGATGCCGAGCCCCCCGCACGGCGGCGGCGGCGGCAGCGGCGGGAGCCCCGGCCCCGCGATAAAAAGGGAAGGGGCCGGAGGTGCGCGCTGCGGGTCCGCCCGGGCGCCGTGCGGCAGAACGTGCCTGGAGGGGATAGAGGCAGGCTGAGCCAGGGGGAGCGGGAGGCTGTGCCCAGCCATGAGCCGCCTCCCTCGCTCGCTCCCGCCCGCCCTCCCGCAGGAATCCCGGGCGGCGCGGCGGCACCCGGGACGCGCGGCTCCCCCGGGCTCTGCGCGGCGGCGGCGGCGGCGCGGAGCGAGCGCGGGAGCCGCGCCGGCGAGGAGGAGCCGCCGCCTCATCCTGCGGCACCGGCCCGGCCAGCGCAGGTGGGTGGGCAGCGCCCGCTCCCCGCCGCGGCTGTAGCGGTGACCCCTTGTCCCGGCAGAGTCCCCGGCGGCTCTGGGGGGCGTGAGTGCGAGGGGCCCGTGGGGCTGGGGGATGGCTCGGGGGTGCCGGGGACCGCGGGCAGCGGGGCGGTGCCCGGCGCACCTGAGCGGCCGCAGCCGGGCTGGGATGGGGGCCGGGTCCCGGGGGGCTCCGGCGGAGCCGCTGCCGTCCGGGAGTGGCGGGCGCTGGTCGGGACGTGGGCAGCCTCGCCGGCGCTTGGGAATTTTATTTCTTTATTATATCATCTTCGGGCTTTTTTATTTTTTTTTTTTAATTTTTTTTTTTCCTAAGACCAACTTGTTCTTGGAAATCGCGTTTGATTTCGGTTTCTGTTCTATTCGGTGTGGGGTTTCTGGTGGCGGCTGCGGTGTCGCCGCCGTAGGGCAGCGCGGGGAGCGGGCGGCCGGAGCCTCCCGTGGTGCGGGAACACGAGTTTGTTCCTGCCCGCTCCCGACTCCGGAGCGCTTTTCCCGGGAGAGCGGAGTGGGAGCGTTCCGCTTCCAGGGATGGTGAGCAGTTCTTAGCTGGAAGAAAGGAGAAGGCATGTGCGTGCAAAAGGCAGGTTTCCCCCCAGAGCTTGTACTCCGAAACTTCGCTATTCTGTGAAACCCGTGTTCTGAACATCAGGAAGCTTCGGTTTTTCCAGGAACCGTGCATTTTCTGATTTTTTTTTTCACATTTTCAGGGAAGGATTGACGTGAGGGCTCTGGGTGTACTGTGTTTAGGTCTTATTTTGTTAGTAAATTGTTAATTTGGCAGGATCTGTGGCATATTGCTCAAAGTGCCATAAGGCTGGAATAAAATGAATAGTTTTTATTATATAAAAAAGTTCAAGATCACTGCTAATTCTATGTGATAATCTTTCAAATACTAGCAATTTATATTTGCATACATTTCCTTAGGACCTATAAAAGATAACTAAGCTGAGTTAGTTTCTGTAAAACTATGTTCATTTTTTCAGATGGAAGAACAAATCCAATTGGGTTTTTTGTTGGAAGAACAAATCCAATTGGGTTTTTTGTATTTACCAAATAAGTAGGTGCACATGTTTTTGCGTTGCCACTTCAGAAGTCATCTTGCTCTGTCAAGGTTATGATGTGTCCCCCAAGCAACGAGGATAAAATAAAAATCTACAAAAATTCTGAGAGTTTTAAGTGTCCTCTTGGTTTAAAATTATTTGGGATTGTTTGGTGGTATTTATTTTTTCTTCAAATGTATTAAAGAGAAAAATGTAAATAACTTGGTTTGAATATTGAAATGCAGCTTTTACTAAAGGGGAGCTTTAGAATATTTGTCTAGAAAAACAAGTGAGCTGAAACATTGTGCTAATAGGATTTGCAGCATAAAATATTGCTAATTTCTCTTGTATGACTACAGGTGGCAGTGTAGAAGCCAAGAACAAAAATTGGCAGAAATTGTGTTCTGTGTACAAGAATATGAAGAGTGTACTCATGACTAAGCACAGGAACCTGGAAAACCACAGGTATGTGAAGTGATTCATACAGCTGCCTATGGTGCTCCTGGTATTTATTGTATTCTGATATTCCTGGCTCAATAAGTATTTTTGGACCAATTATCACTTAATGTGTTCACAGTGAGTGCTTAATCAAAATGTCATGGAAAAATCTATATTTGACTACTAAAAGGGGCAAAAATACGTTGAAGGTGGTATGGAAGGAGAGATGGGATTTTCCTACTTTTTATGGTTTATTGTAACTTTTGAGAATTAGAACACTAAGTAGCCTGAAGTTGGTTTTTTTAAATCCCTTTAAATAAATAGATTTTATATTGATAAACCTAGCAGCAGTTACAGGCCTGGATATCCTTGAAAAGGAGAAAATTTAGATGCAAGAGACAAGTTTGCATGTCTGGATGTTTTGGATGTCTTATCAGTAAAGTTTTTAATAAGTATGAGGGAAATTGCAGAATTAAGAAAATGTAATTAAGAATTACATGTAATTGCAAATAAGTGTCCAGTGAAGATATGTATACCTTGTTAAGGCTTAAATCTTGTAAAATTAAAAAAAAAAAAAAGTAACTTTTCAAATAAGAAATAAAAGTAAAAAGAAGCAGTATAAAATAAGAGCTTAAGATTAGGTCTCCTATTTCAAAGCACAGGTTATTTTAATAATTATTGGGTCATTAATTAACAACATTAGAGTAAGGTAAAGCTTTTCTTGTATATTTACCTTGGTGTGCACAGCCTGTGGAAATTAGTCCATGGATCTGCATTCCTGGGAAGCCATGGAGGATGAGACAAGCTCAAAGCTGGGGCTTGAGGATTTTTTAGAACTGATGAGTGGGAAGTTATCCTGGTAAGAAGCGTCAAAGTGGAATTATCACTGTGATCATGGATATATTTATAGTCTTGCACTTCCTCTTCTAGTCTGGGAGAGCAGTTTGTCTGAACCTTTCAGCTGCTCCTGAGAGAATGTGGTTCGACTGCGAATTCCCATGGATGACCAAGTCACCTTTTGTCAGCCCCTCTGCAGGAGCTGGCCTTGGGCACAGTTTGAGCAATGCCCAGTTGCAAAGCAGAATGATTTATTTTGCTGTTAAAATGGGCTAAGACTCTGCACCCCATAGGTACAACCAACCAGCTGTCACCACTAAACTGTTAAATTATAGTGACTTGGCATCTTGAGATTATGGAATCCAAGTAGAAATGATTAATTATTTCCACCCAGTGCATAAAGTACCTGCCAGGAAACCATAGTTCAGCAATGGCTTTGTGGGCACTCAAGCCCTGAAATTGTAAGATCTTTGTAGAAAAGCTGAGTCTCTGTTGGGGAATAGTAAGATCCTGATCACTGGTTTCGGGTATATCATAATGCTTTCATAATACTGTGTGCCTTGGACAGAACACCCTGCAAAGCTTTCAGAGTTCTTCAATTACAAATGAAAAGGTGTCTGAATCTAGGTCTTCAGGCTGGTGTGCAGAAGAGAGCTCTTCTGAACATCTGGCTGTCATGTTTTTCTTGTCAGCTGTTACTTCTGAGTGAGCATCAGCACTAACTTCCATATAGGCCAGTAGTTCTTTTATTATTATATGTTATTGAACAACAGGGTTTAAATATCCATCAAAAACTCACATTAATATCCCTGATAAAGACAGTTGAACTGTTTATGTAGCACAGGTCAGCATATGCTTATGGCTTTATTAAACATTGTTGAGTTCATTAGCTTGTGCTAACACATTTAGAAGAAAAAATGAAAATGTCATTTGTAATTGGCACAAAATTTTAATGGGGTCTTCCATTACATCAAGTGCTGAAAATATTAAAAAAAAAAAATGGTAACTAAGCAGTGTGATGCTCAAGAGTTCAATTTACAGATACTTCTCTGTGCTAATTATGAAGTATTGACATAAATGAATGAAATCACTTGTTAAAGCGCCTTTTCCAGTGTATAGCAGTTATGTTATGAATCATCTTGTGAACACATTCAGCAATTTGTGATGAATTTCCCTGCCATTACAGGAGATTACCAAGTATCTGATGTATTTGCACTACAGTGGGTTGCTTTAAATTAGATTTGATGGTGGAAAGGGAACTAGAACCATTTTCTATCAACTGAAAAATCAGGCCTGTTTTGTGAATCAGTATTGAATTTTTCTGTACTGTATGGCACAATTTACCCCTTACAATAAAATGCAAATGTTTGAGCATCTTCCCTATAAATACAGCAGTGACAGCGTGTGTGTGGAAGCTCTCAAGACTTCTTTTGTGTCGAAAGCTGTGTACATCAGAGCCAACAAAATGCAGCAGACTTGATGTAATTGGAAGTAGAATTCATAGTAAGAAATCTAAATTTGGAATCTAAACGCGTGAGGTCCCACTTTGAATCAGCAATTCTTGGTTATGTAGAATATTCTTTGATTTGGTGAAGGGCGTGTTTGTAAGCACAGCTCCCCTCAACAGTGCAGAAGAGGCTGCATCTTAAAAAACACTTCTGTGCTTCTGTTTTGAACTAAAAGTTGTGGCTGGTTATGTGTGCTGTTGTCTTAGGGAAGCAGTGTTTAAGTGTTTGCACAATCAGTTCTTTCATGCTATCATAAAGTGGCTGTGATCTGTTAGATTATAAAGTATGATTGCCCAGCAGTTATGGGAAATGCCTGTTAATGATACCGGAGTGTTACACAAGAAAAATAAAACTTTCTTACTCCTCCTTGCTTTCATAGGATTGTCTTGAAAATGATTTGTGGGAACCTGAGGAATGGATTAAAGATGCTGAATGGAAGGCAGAGGAGAAGTTAACTATTCACAAAATAAATAAATTCACTTTCACAAGCACCAACCAGTCCAGTATTAAGGATGGATTTTTAGAAAACCACTAGAATGGTTTTAGATTTTTAGAAAGCCAATGTCTTCCAGGAGGATGAGGACAGTCTGAATCAAAGTCTCTGGAGGTAGATATACAAAATTAAAATTTCAATGGAATACAATGAGAATAAGCCTAAAACACAAGGAGTGTGTCTGATGCTATTTAGCGTAGACCCTTTGGTTTCTCAGGCTGTAGGTTGATATCAGATCTACAGTTAGGAAAAAAAAACCCATAAAAACAAGCATTTACTTGCCCTCAACAGTATAAATGCAGCTGTTAAACCAAAGGGATAGTTAATGACACTGCAAGATGATCATTGCAGATTAATGCAACTGAACTCTTGTGAAAGTCACAACATGCAGAGTGTAAGGAAAATACTCTCCATCAGCAAATGTGTAAAGCAAACCTCCAGGCAGGTATTCCCACCTCTGTCTCCAGGGAGGCTGCCACTGGGGTTCCATGAGAAGCTGTAATGCAGTGGGACATCAATCCTGCAAAGGAGAAATGACCCTGAAATTACATCCAAAAAATCTCATTCTGTAGATGAGACCACCTTGCTGTCAGGTGATGGCCAAGTATCCTTTTGCTCTAAGAATTCCATTGTTTGGTGTTGGTTCCAGGTGATGGAGAGACATCTCCTGCTGTGGAGTGTAACCAGTGCTGGAAGGGAGCATTTGGAAACCTTCCAAGCACATGCCAAAGTGGCTTACAGCAAAAGGGGTCTAGGCTGTCTTCTCAAAATGGAGAAGTGCTGGAGACATAAAGGCTACCAAAGGAGTGCTGGAAGCAACACGTGAGTTGCTGGATAAAAAGTGAAGAATAAAGAGCTGTGCACATCAGTCTGCAGTGTGATTTCAATGTTCTGCATGAGGGCAAGCAGGAAAGGCACGCAGGTCAAGGTGACACTGGCTGTGGCTGAAGTATGTGGGGCAGAAATTGATGAAGGTCATCTAGAGAACAGTCAAGGACTGCTGGAAAAAATAGGTCTTATTTAGACAGGACAGACCAAAATGGATGTGTTTCTATGCAGATGTTGGAAGACTGGAATTTAAAATGGAGGGATTGATGGCTTAGTTCTGCAGTGAGTTACTGACATTCCACATCTGCCACAGAGAAGGTATCAGGCAGGACACTGATTAGGGTTCTTATGGACAGCCTGGTAAGAGGAACTGCCAGGAGAATAAAATGCTTACAACTGTAAAAAAGGCTTTGAGGGATATTTAGCATGGCTGAGCAAGATGGAGGGATTGTAACGATACTCTGCAAAAACATGTTCAAAAATTTTAAAAAGGTGAAATTCATGCAAAATAAACATGAAATGAACAGTAAAACAAGTTAAAGCCTGATATGCAATTTGTAGAAGGCAAAGAAACTTGTCATGAGTTCTTTGAAAATGATCAGAAATGGGATGGCCAATGGTCCAGTAGACAACTAAGATCTAGAAGAGCTCAAATAATATTGTTCTCGTAGCCAAAGGCATATGAGAGAGCAGTGTTCACAGCAGCAGTGAAGCTGAGGGTGCCAAAGGTGATGCCAATTTTTAGAAAGGCTTCCAGAAAGCCTGTGGGAAAGAACAGGACAAGTTTGACTGGCATTCATACCAGCCAGTTTTCTGGTAAATACCATGGAGAAGAAAATAAAGCATTCATGGACAGTTTGATGTACCAGGAAAGAGTCAGAACAGTCTCACAGGTCTGGTGGAGTTCTTTGAAGGCACTGTTGAGGTTGTGAGTAAGTGTGATTTGGCTGATGCAGTACACTGGGGTTTCAGGGAGTCTTGTGAGAGCGACTCACCAAAGGTGCTGAGCAAAATGAAACTGCTCTGACATAAGAGGAATTTTTTTTGTCCTAGACTGATGGCCAAAAGATGAATAAATGTCCTGTTTAACAGAAGGGATGGATAGAATTACTCATGGATCTGTGCTAAGATTAACACCAGTATGCATTGGTGATCTGGAAGGGAGAGTGCAGAATGATTCTAAGTTAATGAGAATAGCATAAATGAAAGCCAGTTATGAAGAGCCCAAGAGGGAGCTTGTGATGCTTAGTAAGTGGGGTTGAAGCTTGCTGCTATGAAGTAATGCATGTGGAGGAGAACAATCCTGCCATTGTTGAGATTTTAGCATGGAAGGAAGTAATGTGGAGAGTTTATCGTGACAA